GAATTGAATTGAATTGAAAACAATTCTAAGCAGTCTGCTATCATCACTGTTTGCCCCTCTTTTTCCCTTATAACTTAATCCTTAATGATGCTTGCTTCTCTTTGAATTCAGTGATGGATATAACTGACATAATTAATGGGAAAGTAGATGATGAAGATAAGCAGCACTTCATTCCATTTCAACCGTAAGTGCAAATTAATACAGAAAAGTAATCAGGACTGATATCAGGAATAGATGGGTTATGATTCTTTGTTAACAATAAGCTCTCACAGTTTTGAAAATGGGAAGAATAAAAAGCTAAATGGACAGGACTGTTTTGGAAGAAAAAATGATTTACTTTAACTAACCTATGTGATTAAACAGTCTCTTCCCAAAGAATTAAATAGCCAGCTCTGATTTTTTTTTTCCTAAAGCTAAGATAATTTCAGTTTTCCTACAGGGACAATGTACTGCAAGCAAAGTCCTCTGTATTGTGAATACATTTTCTATTTAACTTTGCAGTTCAAAATCTTGATTTGTTAGTACCATTCTTGGATAAGAATCAGAGATGTGGGTAATTGTTATATTAATAGTTTCAAATATGTATATTTTAGAACTAACTGTTTTGTTTTGTTTCAATGAAATAAGATATGTGTCCATATAATATTTGGACTAAGATGAAAGCTTGAGTACAAGAGTTAAAATACAGTATTTTAAATTTAAAGAAAAAACATGATACATGAATGAGAATTGTTTAGATCTTATAGTAGAAGTAAGAGAACAATTATCCTCAGGCTATAATGAAATTTATTTATCAAATCTATGTATCTAATTTCTAAAACCAGAATACAAACCGCTCTATGATTAGTGGCTAATGATAGTGATTGAGTAGAAGATCATCATTTGTTCCAATAAACTTAATGTTGAATGTGTTTTTGGTTTATATATATATGTGCAAACATAAATGTATATAAAAAGCTATATAATAAACACAAACAAATGAACATTACTTGGGTGCATCTATAATAACATATGCTGTTTAAATAAAAAGAAGAAAATTAAACAGAATAAATCAGTATAAATCATGGCAAATTTAAGACTTAGGGACTTCAACGCCCAGAATTCCCCAGCCATCTCTGGGAATTCAATTCCCAGAATTCCCCAGCCAGTCCACAAGTCTGGACATCATTGCTATAAAATGAAAGCCTCAGTGAGAGAATAAAATTGGGCTTCACTTGCTTAGTTAACTTCTTGGTGATATTTCTCAAAAGATCCCAATAGTATTATTTTGTATTATATTATGAATTGTTATATATTTCTAAAAGCATTCTGATTAAAAATGAAATGAGATATTTCATGGATCTGGAAAATTTTTGAAATAAAATATTTTTCATTCAGATTTTGTAGCTTTCTTTTTTACATTATGCTTAATTAAATTATTCTTTAGAAAAAAGCTTTTATTGAGAATGAGTTATATACAATTTGTGAAGACTTTCCTGTTATTTATTTATTTTGTATTGCATCTCTCTTGTGTTACTTGATATTTTTCTTTCCATGTGTTGAATTTGCCACTGAAAAAAATATATAACAGCCATCATTAAACATGGGGGCCAAAATTGCTGTGGGGTGCTGAATGACATTTTTCTAAATACTACTTTTCATTTGTTGCTTCAATATTTTCATCCTTTCCATCATGTAGCAAAATCGTTTTATGGATTTTCTTGATTGTTTTCCAACCCCACTAAGCTACTTTTATTTGTAGTAGCTTTCTGCTTTTTGTTACTTGTCATTAGAATTGTAAGTCGATTCATTTCATCCCTGAAACTGGGCTTCACTGGTCCATGGGGGTGGTATGTTTTTACATTTTGGTGTTGTTATTATATATGTAACTTTTTTCAGGCTCTTCACCTCTATTCTGCACACCTCTATGATAAATCTGGATTATGTTTTTTTTCTGAAATCATAAATTCATTTCTCCTTATTAGTTTCCTGATTGATTATCTTTCTGTGTCTTCCTTTTTTTTTCCCCCTCTTGTCTTGTGCCGACTAACAAACACTCTTTGTCACCTGTGTGATACTCTCTGTTGTGTTTTTGTTCTACGACTTCTGGTTTTCTGCCCCTTCCATCTTTGTTACCTTTTGGTGTTGGTCGTCATGTGCATTTTCCAGGCTAGCATTGGATAACACCATTCGACACAAGCAGTTGAACATATCATCCCGTTTTTCACCCAGGGTGGCAGGGGAGAATGATTTTCTTCAGACTGTAATAAACAAAGTGATTGCCGCTAAAGAAGTTAATCATAAGGGTCAAGGTAGGTATTTTCCTTTCCTTAGGGTGTTAGCACTAGCAATGATTAGGAAAGTAATCAATTTTTGTACTAAAACTCCTGAGTTTGTTAGCATGGAAAAGGTTTCTTGTTTCTGATTTGCTCTTCTTTTGCTTCATGTACCATGACGATCATTCTGAAGCCATGTTTTAAAATATCATTTTTGCATCTTTCACTGACATCTAACCATTCATCATCTTATTAATGTACTTTTCAATTTTTTTTACTGTAAAAAAAAACCCCTTAATTTGAGATGGTGGTTAGTTGGCTGTTTCAAAAATAACGAAACTTATCTCAGCTTTGTATACATACTGCATATTTAAGATGCTACATGCTTTTCAGAGCCGAGGTGGCGCAGTGGTTAGGGTGCAGTACTGCAGGCCACTTCAGCTGACTGTTATCTGCAGTTCAG